AGGAGGGAGAGATGGACGAGGAAGAAGGGAGAGAGGAGGATGGAGAAAGGGAGGAAGGAGGAGGGAGAAAGGAAGGAGGAAAGAGGGGGCAGCGACTCCAGCGGGTCGAGTCAGTCCACGCGCGGAGGATGGGAGGGGTGGAGTGAAAGGCCCTGTCGCTAACGTAACAAGGGCAAAAAAAAAAAAGGTGATTGGATGGTGAAGTGTTCGAAGGACAGACAGAAGGAGAAAGGAAGAGCGAAGAGAGAGAGAGAGAGAGAGAGAGAGAGAGAGAGAGCTGGCGGCAACCCACCTCAACCGGCTCGGGGATTCCTCCTCTCTCCCGCTGCCTGCTCCAGCTGCCTCCTGCTGCGTGCTGCTGCCTCCTGCTGCCTCCTGTTTCTTGCTCGGCCTGGTGCTGCTGTTGACGGGCGGGCACGACTGACGACGAATGACGACGAACACGTACCGCACGACGGCCGCCAAAGTGACAAGGCACAACTGGCATGTCGGTGAAGTGCTGGGGTACCCAACGGCGACATGGGGGAGGCCTGAGCAGTTCGAAAACTACTCAGATCTCCCCCCAAAACTTTTACCGGCCCTCCGCGCGGCCGGAATTTTTTTTTGCGCCCACGGAGGCAATTTCCCCCGGTAGCCCTCCGGGCCTCCCAACCCTGGAACTTTTTTTTTTTTTTCCACGACCCCTGTTTTGGCCGATGCGCCGCATGCCGTGCACGCGCCGGCTGCGCTCTGCGCTCTGCGCCGCACGTGCCGCGACGCTGCGCACGGCATGCGCCGCAAGTATGCTCTGCATGTTATGGAGATGAATGACACAGGACTTTGCTCCACTAGTTTCCAAATCCAGTATTTTGAGATCTGATGGGTTACTCTACTTTCCCTTGATTTGAAAGGGAAGCAAAATCGAGTTGTCAGGAATCCGGTTTTCAGAGCACTGAAAAACGAGACTGGGCTGCCTGCAATGGGGCCACTTTCGGAGGCCGGTCCTGCGCTCGAAAAGCCCTCCGTTTTTAAGAGTGCACCTGCACGATGAACTGGAAAGTTGGTTTTCTTTTTAGCCTTTGTGCTTTCCTTTGGTCCTTTTGTTCGCTGAGCTCGGAAAGTCGAGAGCGGTCCAAGAGTCCCAACAAGAGTAAATGGAATGATGTAGTTCATAAAGGAACAAAGGCACACATATCCGTTCGGTCGAGGGAACTATATGTGATTCAGGTGGCGAGAGCGGTCGTGTTGGTCCTCTGGCCTTATTGCGATCTGATGATATCCGGATTTCAAGTCTATCTTAGTATAGTACTTGCATCCCTGCACCCTATCCAATAGGTCGTCTATGCGAGGTAGAGGCTCTGCATTTTTCACTGTGATGGCATTGAGGCCTCTATAGTCAATGCACATCCTCAAAGTACCCCCCTTCTTCGGTACGAATAGAACGGGTGATCCGTAAGGGCAAGTACTAGGCCGAATCCAACCCTTCTCTGTCAGCTCCTTTAGTTGCTTCCGAAGTTCATCTAACTCGGCAGGGGCCATCCTATAGATCCTTCCCTTTGGGGTCTTACTCCCTGGAATGATTTCTATAGCGTGGACGACTTCCCTATCAACAACTCCTGAGGGCTCCTCGAACAAATCAGTGAACTTAGCAACGACGCGTTCTATCTCTGGGGGTGTTTTAACGGCAAGGCACACATATCCGTTCGGTCGAGGGAACTATATGTGATTCAGGTGGCCGGTCCTGCGCTCGAAAAGCCCTCCGTTTCGGAGGCCGGTCCTGCGCTTGAAAAGCCCTCCGTTTTTAAGAGTGCACCTGCACGATGAACTGGAAAGTTGGTTTTCTTTTTAGCCTTTGTGCTTTCTTTTTTGGTCCTTTTGTTCGCTGGTTCGGTCGAGGGAACTATATGTGATTTCGGAGGCCGGTCCTGCGCTCGAAAAGCCCTCCGTTTTTAAGAGTGCACCTGCACGGTGAACTGGAAAGTTGGTCTTCTTTCTAGCCTTTGTGCTTTCTTTTGGTCCTTTTGTTCACTGAGCTCGGAAAGTCGAGAGCGGTCCAAGAGTCCCAACAAGAGTAAATGGAACGATGTAGTTCATAAAGGAACAAAGGCACACATATTTGGTCGGTCGAGGGAACTGTATGTGATTCAGGTGGATGGAAACCTACAGTTAGAGCATGGCACACATCCATTCGTGCATGCACAAAAAGAAATGAAGGCAAACTTATCCACAACCACAGGATGTACCAGAGAGCAACAGAACTGAGTCCAGCAAGAAACTGCTGCAAGGCTGGCAGCGCTAGCTCAAGGTGTAATGGGTCTAACACAATCTTGATGTACATTTGGTTGAGCGATTTGGAGGTATAACTCTCGGGCTTGGTGGGTGGTTTTCACCCTCCTTGAACTGGTGTAGAAAAATGAGCTCAGCGTACGTTCAGGCTAGGAGTTGTGGGCTTCTGAGCAATTGAAGTGCTGCCTGTTCAGCCCGGACTCATGGACTCTGCAATGCAGTACTCCACAGAAGAAAGGATGCCTGGGGTCTTCTTGAGCGTTCGGATGAAAGGGATGATAGTGAGGAATCGGAAGAGGATGGTGGTTTTCAAGCTCAGCTCTTTGTGTACTAGTTCATGTTTGGTTACCTGAAGCTCATCTAGAAGGACCCACCGTTGGATCGGTTAGCTTATTGGGATTTTTATTTTTATTTTTAAATGAATAAAGTAATGCACACTGTCTTCTCCTCATATGGGGGGACAGCTGCATTTAGTATGCTATTTTCTTCTCTCAATCTTTTGAATTATTTTCCCATCTCACACTATCTACTTGGGGCTGTGTGCTGGAACTGGTCCAGCCACCTTCTGAACCTGCAAGGGGCACGGCAACCCAACCAGCAAGGAACCCAGCTTCATTGAGAACTTCGTGGTTAGAATCGAAGACTACACATTACCTACCTATGGAAAAGGGTTGAATGAACTTGAATCTCTTAAAATTGGGAAGTTACGTTTTTAAAGGGAGCTCTAAGAGTTGTGGGCTTCTGAGCAAGTGAAGTGCTGCCTTTTTGGCCCAGACCCATGGGCTTTGCAGTGCAGTATCCCACAGAAGAAAGGATGGCTGGGGTCTTCTTCAGCGTTCTGATGAGAGTGAAAGGATTCACGCTGCAGACACCCAGTCCCGGTCCCAAGGTCCTGACAAGTCCCAAGTCCCAGGCTGTCCAGTAGCGTAGGCTGTAGGGTCTAGAGGCCGAAACGTTGTAGGTCGGTAGGTGTCGGTACCCAAGCGTCATAGGTCGGTAGGTGTTGGTACCGAAGCGTCGTAGGTCGGTAGACAAGAAGAGTCCAGAAGAGTCCAGTCTGGTCCGACAGTCCCAAGTCCAATTTTGCAGCATGTCCCAGCAAAGTCCGGACGCTACCGGACTGACAAAATGTTTGCAGCAGACAGGCCGCGGCAGAGTGGTACCGGTCTGAAGCAGGCCAAGCCAAGTGAAGCCAAGTCCTATATTTAGATGCTACAGTGCAGCGGCTCATCACTTGTTCGGTTGCGAGATGCGGAAGTGCTGCTGCTGCTTGTGCGTTAAGGCAACTTGGGCACTGTGCGCCTGAATAAGAAGAAGGCACTTGTGGGATACTCCATAGCTAGGCTAGAGGTAGCGCAGGAGGTGGGTGGCCATAGCCGCCAAGGTGGAGCTTACCTAGGTGGGCGTATCCAGGGTGACGATCTAGGGTAGAGAGAGAGAGAGAGAGAGAGAGAAGCAAGACCAAGAGAGGGAGAGAAGAGAGAAGCTATAGCCATTATCAGGTTGACACCCGTTGGGTGTTTGTATGCGGCAGAGCCGCCGGAGACTAGCATTCTTGTATATTGATAATAATTTTGGAGACGACATCTTCACATGTTGATCGCATCTCTCATGTGAATGTTCATTGATGTATGCGAGGTGGAACCTGACGAGTTCTTGGCTCATTTCAAGAGGGATTATAGAGAGGAATGGGAATAGGGAGTACTCTGCATCAGCGTGGGAGGAAGTGGTCGGATTGACATTGGTTCATACTGTCATGAAAATCTTACAGCTGGAATGACAGCTTAGAGACCTTGCAGAAATGAGAAGGCTGGAAGTGTTTACGGTGACATGTCTTATGCTTCTGCATGCAGTAATGGACCTCGAAAACGATGAATATAATCCAAGCCGCTCATCATACCTTGTCATCACTGCTGAATTCTTCATTGCGGACTGCCTGACTGAAAGCCCTTTAAACGTTCAGACTCTTTAGAGCAACAAGGGAAAGCCCTTTAAACGTTTAGAGCAACAAGGTCACTGATCTTTTTTTTTTTCACCAACACCTTCGGACCGCTTGTTCTTTAGAGTGCTGGATGAGATAGCACCAGCAAGGTGATGCATGAATTGTTTGCAAATCTTGTGAGGAGGTGAGGTGTTTGGGTTAATGTGCGAGTAAATGTCTGAGTCAGTTTCGTCCAAACTTTCATGTCCAAATGAAATTTCTGACTGGTAAGCCTGTTTTACTCTCTGGTGGTTGCAGAGTATCATTCCTGGAATACTCTATGGTGACAAATCAGCATCACTTTTGTATGGCTCGGTGGATGGTGGGAAAAAGATCGCGTGGAATGAGAAGTTCCATGTGAAGGTGAGTTGTTGTCTGGCATCTTATTGCTCGTCCGTGATATTTCTACGAGAGAGGGGCCGTTGTGGTGCAACGTCGTTGCTGCTTTCTCTTACAAGCAGCTGTAGTTGTTGAAAATTTCTTGTTGATCTGACTTCAACTCTGTACCTTTTCCTGGTTACTCGGTCCAAACCTTGCCCTGTATTTCATGGTGGTTGCTGATGCGTTCCCTCTGTTGTGGTGCTCGGGCTCTTAACTAGTAGTTAAAGATGGTATTTGTTGTCCAGCTTTAGAAACCGAGACATTGGCAGCTGTAGATTTGATGAAAGAAAGAGGTGTATGGAATGGTGTGTGTGGGTGGGGGGGGAGGGGGGTCTGGGGCACGGTTTCTGAAGGTGGCGTAGAGGGCACAAGTCCTTGGGTAGCACTCTGCTAAGGAGGTTCCGGAGGAAAGAAGAGACTGGTATAGAGGCCATTGTCATGGCTGGCATTCCCACTAATGCAATGAGTGGTGCTTGACCCAAAACACAGTTTTCTTTGTGCGTTAGGCCCTGGGTGAACCCATAGCACAGCTTTCTTTGTGCGTTAGGCCCTGGGCCATCCACTACATGGTGATGGACCCGGGCTTACTCTGAGAGAGGGGTATGAAAACTCGACATAGAAATGGAACTTGGGAATGTGGACGTTGCAAATGTGTGCCATGGATGGTGGAGGAATGAAAGGGAGACAGCAGGAAAGAGACTTCCTGTCCAATAGTGGGTGGCATAGAGGGGATTGACTTGAACATGCACTCCATTGAGCAAGAAGTCTTTCAGATTGGAAATGTTGACTTTCCTAAGGTACGCCATTTTCTGGTGGACGAAGAGAAAAAGCACAATTCCTGGGCTAAACGAAGCAGCGTCTGCGTAAAAGAAGTGCCAAAAGGATACTCAAGTTGTAAAGCGCTCTTGGTCCTGCAGGGTTATACTGTAGTCCCCAGAACTTGGTAGCCGAGAAGACCCAACCTTGTCCACCTGATGCATAGCTCCCGACCGGGTATCAGTCCGGTCCAACATGGGGCAGTTGGGAGCACTTAACTGGGCAGGGCATACCTGCAGTTCAGTTGATTTAAAAAAAAATCAGCTGAACCCACCAGACGGTCCTTTCCCCATAGCCATCATCCTCGGCGAGGGTCCGTCGTTCCTGTCTCCTAGTTGTTGCCCTCCTTGTTCTCATCTCCGGCAGTAGTGGGGGGGGGGAGAGCTGGAGAGGGAGAGAGAGAGAGAGAGAGAGAGAGAGAGAGAGAGAGAGAGAGAGAGAATGGAAAGGGGATGTCGTGCATAAATCGATATCCCCTTCCCCTCCGGCAGTCCTTTCCCCTCGCAAGTTGACCCATCTGTCCTCATCAACAGAGGACAGATGGTAGCTGGAGGTGGGGAGTGAAGGCAATGAGGAAAGGCCCGTCCTGGGGGTGCAAATAGGAGCAAAATGGACTTGTACCGTTCCAGAACTGTGATTCCTTTTGCAAGCAGAAAGGGAAGAAAG